TGGAGGCCCGCATCGGGCTCCCTGCTCAGCAGGAAGCCTGCTTCTCCCTCTCCCACTCCCCCTGCTTGTGTTCCCTTTCTCGCTGTGTCTCTGTCAAATAAATAAATAAAATCTTTTGAAAAAATAAATAAATAAACAGCAGTGAATGTGACACTACTCTAAGACCTCTAAACATGTTTAGAATTATAATGACTTTTAACAATAACTTTGGTAATACAAACACCTTTAGGTATTTAGATTTTCTGATTTGCCCAAAGAAGTGAGCACATAACCAGAAATCCAAGTTAGCCAGTTCCTTCTATGGCCTTGGGCATATTCCTTCCTCTGAAAAACGAGGACAGATCTAACAGCACTTCTATATCTGACAAGGCTAAGCTAGAAAGCTTACTATCGAGTCCCATTAACTATTTCCATATACACTCATATATGTAAGGCATTTCGCCTTTATGTTCTTTTTGTCTTTAACAAAAAAATTCCCCTTACTCTATTTCTCAGGAGGATTTGGTTCTCTTTCCCCCTATGATTTCCAGAACATTTCAAAACTTTTCAAATGAAAATATGCGAGTCATGACTTGTGGGTAGCAAGTTAGGACTTGTGGGGACAGTTAGGGGGAGGGCAAACTCTGAGATCTGCCAGCAATTGTTTTCTCTCTTGATTCGAACGAAGGAAAAGATCATGTTATTTATACAGCATAAGGTTCCAGATTTTCAGGAATGAAATCTGAGCCCAGCATGTCAACATATTGGTCTGTTCTGTCTTGGAATCTACAGTAGATGGATTTCTTTGTGCTGGGAAACATTAGGAAGGTCAATATTCTTTTCTGATTTTTTTCTTTTAAGAAAAGAGTTCATTCTCACACTCTGAAGTGGCGGTATTAGATATCATCCAGATAATACGCTCAATGGTCGAGCCGACTTCAGTTTCAAACATAAAGCCTCAGGGCAAACAGCTTTTATGTATTCAGTTACATGTTCTTTACTTTACAGATAATGTTTTTCCACAAATACTCCCAGCCTGGGAGGAGATACAGAAGTGAACAATCCAATGAAATAAAAATAATAGTGACGTTAGTAACAGAGTCCCAAATCGCAAAGGACCCAGAGAGACACGGACCTGGGCTTCGGGATCAGGGGAACCTGCTAGAAGCAGGTAAGTCAGAGGCCTCCGGGGGGGAAGGGGTTTGGGGTGGGGCGGAAAGAGCGCTGGGCCGGGGATCACAGGACAGGACTTCAAGTCCTGGCCTCTTTCTGATGAGCTCTGCAACAACGCGTAATCACTTACCCTCCATGGCTTTCAGCTTTCTCATCTTCACAAGAAAGGGGTTGGCCTGGACCTGAGAGGAAAGGGTCCTGGAGCCCAGGACAGCTGGAGGCCTGACCCTGGTTCTGCCACTGGCCGGTGTGGAACCCTGGACCAACAGCCAGGCTCTGAGCCTCAGTTTCCCCCTCCCCCCCCACCCCCGTAAAATCAAGGACAGTAATACTTTCCCGACTGAGGTACGCTGAGGATTAAAGGGATAGTGTTTTTAAAGCGTCTGGCACATAGTAGGCAGCACTCTGGCTTCCCCTGGAAGTCCCTTCCCGCACTAAGACACCCTGGCCCCCATCCGGGTCCTTTGTCTCCAAACTCCAGTCCGTGGCTTAGCAACAGCCCTCATTCCCAATCACTGCAGGGGCACACACACCTGAACTGCTGCTTTCAGTTTTCCCAATTGCCACGAAAACTTGCTTCCCGCGAAGTATTTGCCCCAACTGGGCATCTCTTGAAGTGCGTCGCCACACTTTCTGGCTTCCCGGGCTCCGCGGCCACTTCCCTCCCCCCGATGGGGAGGAAGGGACGGGGCAGTGGGGGATGAGTTTGGGAGGGAGGCGACCGGGACGGGGCCCGGGGACCGCGCTCGGCCTCCCACTTCCGCCGCTCCAGGTGTTTCGGGGCCGGCCGGCGATGGAGCGAGGGTTTCCCACGTCGGGAGGGCGCAGAGCCGGCCCATCTTCCGGGCGCGGGCCTTGGGATTAGCAGAGCCCAAAATAGGGTCCCTTGGGGGGGGATGGTCTGCTGGCGGTTTGACTGACGTGGCCCGGGGAGAGGGCTGCTGGTGGTCCCTTCCTTGGGAAGGGAACTCCTTGTTCGGAATTCCTTAATTCCAGGGAGGCTTCAGATACCAATTTATAAAAGTAACATATATAATTTACATATATTTATAACAGTATTATAACCACATTAGAGAACCTTTGAAAAGCAGAGCAAAAGAAAAACCCTTCCCCATTTATAATTACAACTCCCAAATGCAGAGGCTGGTAGTATTTTGCTGTGTGTTAGTTGTGTTGTGTTCTTTGAGTCCTTTCCCAAAGCTTTCATTTCGTTAGTTAGTTGTATATTCACACACACACACACACACACACACACACTCACACTTTTTGTACCTTGCTTTTCACACTGTAAACTTTTCTAGGTAGATGCTTCATGGTCCTTATTATTTTAGTGACTGCAAACTACACCTAGGGGATTCAGTAGGATGTATGTTACAATTGTGTTGTTATTAGCCCTTTGGGTGGTCTCCAATGTTCTTCTATTGTAACTAACACTACCACCGGGAATGTGTATTAGCATAACGTCTTGTCTTTTCACCCAAATTTCTTTACTTTTGAGATTTTATTTATTTATTTGTCAGAGAGAGAGAGAGAGCGAGAGAGAGAGAGCGCGCGCGCCCGCGCACAAGTAGGGGGAGGGGCAGAGGGAGAGAGAGAAGCAAGCTCCCCGCTGAGCAAGGAGCCCAATGCAGGACTCGATCCCAGGACCCTGGGATCATGACCCGAGCTGAAAGCAGACACTTAACTGACTGAGCCACCCAGGCGTCCCTTCACCCAAATTTCTTACCATTTCCTTAAAGTCACCTCCTAGAAATTGATTACATCACCTCTAAAAATGTTGGTTGTTTTTTCTTCCAGGGTAACTATGCTGTGATTTACAGCGAGAGGAGCACCTTTATCCCCCTTGAGTTCGATTACTAGTTTTGTCTGTTTTTTAAGCAAGCCTTTTGAAGTGAGTGGGATTTGAATGAAGAAAGATGGCTTAGTGAATAAAGCCTGGGAGGTTGTCCCAGGGACAACCCCATGATCCCATGATCAGGGAGACGTGGTGAGTGGAAAAAATGGATGAAAGTGCTTCGTGGGGAGGAAGGGACAGGGCAGTGGGGGATGAGTTTGGGAGGGAAAAATGGTGGGGCCAACCCCCTTGATGTGGCCCAAGTTGCAGGTGCAAGAAAGATGGATTTAGAAACAGCAGTTTGGACCAGTTAAAAGCAAAAGAGCCTGGGCTCCAGGCATGAAATCAGCCTCAAGGATTTGGTGAAGGGATGGAAGAGAAGTGAATTTTGGATTACAGGGTCTATCATGTACAATGGGGAAGGAATCCTACACTCTAATTTATTGAATACTTCCCCTGTGCCCACGGTTTGGAGGCTATCCTAATGAATAATAACCCAAGGAGAGAGGTAATATCATCATCCTCATTTTACAGATGTAGAAACTGCAGGTCTGAGGGGTTCCTTGTCGTAGCCAAGGCCGCACTCCAGGTGGCAGAAAGGAAGATTCGAAACCATGCCTTCCTACTTCAAACCTAGGGCCTTCAGGATCAAGAACAAGATTTGGACAGAGGACAGAAGAGACACAGCACTTATCCGGGCCATGAGAGCCTGGGGTCAGGCCTGGGTGGAGAAAGACCAATGATCGAGAGACATGCTTTCCTCTCCCCTAGATCAATGAAAGAATGTGTCTCCTGCTCAATTTCAAGTACCTCCTCTTTCTGTCCCAGTTAAAGTAGAAACAGTGTGCGCTTAGAGGGTTTGTACTAGACAAAGCCAGAGTTAAGTTTTCTTTCTTTTCAGAAATTATATTTTATTATTTTTTTTTAGTATATGTGCTGCCGAAGCGAACACTTATTATTTTTTTAAAGCAGGCTCTCCACCCAACGTGGGGCTCGAACTCACGATCCTGAGATCAAGAGTCACACGCTCCACCGGCTGAGCCAGCCAGGCGCCCCCAGAGTTAAGTTTTCAAAGGCACTTGTCTCCTACCCCCTTATTTCAACTTCTCGTTATTTTGCTAGAAAATGCCATTGGGTTGGAAACATGGATTGTGTTGGACTGGTCACCAATTCAGATGTGTTCTTATTCCCCCACTTTCTATTCGGCATATTCTCTTCGAAAGCATGGTTATATAACACACATCATGTGGAGAGCTGAGGTGAGCCACCTCTCAACCAGGGAAACGTCTTAGTGTGGCTGGTTTCAAAGCCTGGGTTTCCAGAGCATTCAGTGCTCAGCGAGGGAGGAAACCCAGCTGGCCCATTGTCTTCTGAGACCAACAAACTTTTGTATAAAACAACAGTAACAACAGGTAATTATTTTGATCTTCAGATTCAGATTCTCTCTCTTTTTTTATTTTTTTAAGATTTTATTTATTTATTTGACAGAGAGAGACACAGCGAGAGAGGGAACACAAGCAGGGGGAGTAGGACAGGGAGAAGCAGGCTTCCCGCTGAGCAGGGAGCCCAATGCGGGGCTCCATCCCAGGACCCTGGGATCATGACCTGAGCCGAAGGCAGACGCTTAACCAT